CTCTCCAGTGCTAGTTCTTGCTATCTCTGAAGGATGCTCCAATCCTTCTCAGATACCCCTCTTACAGTATTCCTACTATCTGATTTGAAATCCTTCAGATACATTTTAATCTGGACACTATGTGCAAATAGGTACACTGGTCTTGCTAACCCATTCCCCCATCACCTCCTCTGCCTTAAGGAAAATTCAAAGTCTTCTTTGGCTCTTTTCCTCTCTTCTACTCTTTGGGATCCCTTTCTCTCTGATAAGGAGATAGAAAAAGCCTGAAGCATTAAAATAATTTAAAATATAAAAAGCCAAAATATAATTGTTTTGAAGTAAAGATGCCATTGTCTTAGTGTGCCGTAAATATTCACACAACTTGTAGAATTGTCCCAGTCTACATCCTAGTAGTTAGGATGGTTATTAGTCCATTAGCCATGGACTAATATGTATCCTTCTATAAGATAAGGCTGATGGTAAAATATTAGAAAAAAATAAGATTTAAATCTCTTATATTTCATGAAAAACACAAATTCATAGATAAAATTTAGTAAATTTAAAGGAACTAGACGTTTGTATGACCTAAATGAGAAACTTTGAAACTCTTTTCAGGTAAATGAGGATACATACTAGAAGTTGAAAATTTTCAAATAACTTTAGCCAACCAGAAAAGTTTTCCAGTAAAATTATAGATGAGCTAAAAGTTATTCCAAACAATGCCTCAGATCAATCTTCGAAAAGACTCAAAAATAAGTGCATTAATATATTTGGATCACTCTAGACTTACTGTTTATTTTTTCCACTGAAAATACCAACCAACAATATATTTAAAACACAAAAATTTAATATATACTAGAAGTCTTACATCATTATTTGCTAGCAACAGTAGGTATTTTCTGATTTTTTTCCAGTTTTTTCTAAATATAATGGAAACAATAATGGTAATGGATGAAGCCAAAATGAAAGATAATTTAACAGAGCAAAGAAAATATTTTTTACTAATGAATCAGTATTTTTGAGATCCCATTGCATGTAAAGTGGTGTATAAGAAATACTTTTAATTATGTGGGCGCCTGGGTGGCTCAGTTGGTTAAGCGACTGCCTTCGGCTCAGATCATGATCCTGGAGTCCCGGGATCGAGTCCCACATCGGGCTCCCTGCTCAGCAGGGGGTCTGCTTCTCCCTCTGACCCTCTTCCCTCTCTTGCTATCCGTCTCTCATTCTCTCTCTCTCAAATAAATAAATAAAATCTTTAAAAAAAAAGATATGTATTATTACAACATTCTAAACTACAAATAAACAGAACATTTGAAGACCTCTTTTATATTAACTAACACCCCTTTTCTCATAAACACATAATCTTAATATTTTCTTTTGGATTCCCTGTGTCAAACAGTTAATGTTGGTGTCTTTCCTCTGTGATTTTTCATATCTTCCTATGTCATTTCCCAGTGGTTGCCCAGTGGACATGCTACAGTTCCTGTAAATTTTGAGAGTGGTAATAAGTATACTTAATACTCAGAGGAAATTAGAGAGTCCAGTGGAGAGTTGTCTGACAATGAACCTTTATAGTCATTAATAAACAATTTTAAAAGAGAAATAAGTCAACTTAATTTTAGAAAAAAAATGAGTCAATAAAAAGTCTCAATTTGACAAGTATTTTGTTTAAAGATTTATTTATTTATTTTAGAGAGAGTGAGAGAGCACACGTGTGCATGTGTGCGCAAGTGAGCAGTGGGAGAGACAGAGAGAGAGGGAGACAGATTCCTCGCTGAGTGAGGAGCCTGACAAGGGACCCCATCCCAGGACTCCAAGTCCATGACAAGAGCTGGCTACCTAACAGACTGAACCACCCAGGCACCCCACAATTTGACAGTTATACAAAGATTAAAGCTCAACTTAAGAAACAATTTATCAGGGATGCCTGGGTGGCTCAGTCAGTTAAGTGCCTGCCTTTGGTTATGATCCCAGGGTCCTGTGATCAAGTCCCACATCAGGCTCCTTGCTGAGTGAGAAGCCTGCTGCTGCACCTGCTTGTATGTTCTCTCTCTCTCTGACAAATAGATAAGTAAAATCTTTTTTAAAAAAAAGAATTTATCAATCTTTAGAAAAATAGTTTTTAAAGTTAGTAAATTCATAGAAAGTATGTAGAATTTGATGTGCTGAGAAAATATTTAGGCAAGAGGAAATAAGTATATAAAATTTTAAATCAATGTGAAATTGTAGGACTGAATGGTTGGAGAGAAACTGTAAAATATCAGGTTTGCCTGTGTCATATGAGTAGTACAATTTAAATTCTATAGCATACTAAGAAAGTAGGATCTTTTAGGGTTGAAATGATTGGAGAAGGCTTTTGTCAAAGAGGTGATATTAGACTTGGTTATGAACAGTTTGGTAGACATTTGATAGGCGAAGATATAAGAGAATGGGGCTGTAGTCAGAGGTAATAATATAGCAAATGCAGAGTCTAGGGCAGGTTTGCACCACTCATATGATATAAGCAATCCTGATTTATAAATATGTATGCAACTGTTTGCTCTATCCTACAAAATTATAAAAAGCCTTAAGGGCAGAAACCATGTATTATAAATTTGCATGCCACAGGGTTTTGCATTTTTACAGGTTAGTCTACAAAACCAAATATATGCTAGATACGAATTTGGTGAGTATATGTGTTCCAGTGTTGACACATTTTTTTCATTCTCTTCATATTTTTTTTTCTTATCCTTATGAGGCAATCCTCATCTTGAACCCAGTTTTTATGTTTGCATTCTAACTCTTGGAAAATAAAATGATTGAAACATATCTAGGCTTACCCGATAATGCTTTCACTTTATGTTATAAGGGCAAAAACAGGCATCTAGAGCATCTAGGGATGATCCCAACAACTGTGGGCAAAGGAAGCAATTTAAATGTCTTTTTTAATTTACCTACTTGAATCAGAATACAATGAGATTAGAAAAGGGAAGTTGAGCTGTAGTCAAACAGTCTTATACTACCTAATCTGTTTAATTCCACAATGTAGGTGTCTGGGGAAGAATGGGCAAAAATAAAAATGATGGGTTCCTCTGTTAGGCTGTATTTTAGTTTGAAGGGATGCTTTAGCATTATGTAAAAGCTATGACTATTTAGTTTTTAAACTGGCAATTCCAATTTTTTAGTCCATATGAACACAGATGAAATTTTTCCTTTGAGTAACTGTTCAAAATATTAATTTCATTTTGTTTTTTTTTTATTTTTTTTAAGATTTATTTATTTGACAGAGAGAGAGAGAGCACTCAAGCAGAGGGAAGGGCAGAGGGAGAGGAAGAGGGAAAGCATCCCAAGCGGACTCCCCACTGACTGCGGAGCCTGGCACTGGGCTCCATCTCACCACCCTGAGATCATGACCTGAGCAGAAAGCAAGAGTTGTAGTCTCAACTGACCAATCCATCCAGGCAATTAATATTAATATCCTTTTTAAAGTAACCTTCTAGAATAGGGATTTGGGCTGTTGTTGGAGCACTTTTAAACCCAATTAGCTGTTACAACAACCAAAGCAAGGTACTCTGAGAAATGCTTTGCAACCTGGATCCTCCATAATTATTCCCAAGTACATTATTTACCAATTCCCACCCCCACTCCCACCAATTTAGGTCTCAGGAACTAACTTTGGAAGGCAGATAAAAGCCTCTTTTATTTTTTTTCTATTTTTTAAAAGATTTTATTTATTTATTTGAGAGAATGTGAGAGAGAGAGAGAGACAGAGAGAGAGAACATGCACAGGAGCAGGGCAGAGGGAGAAGGAGTGGGAGAAGCAGACTCCCCTGCTGAGCAGGGAGACCAGCGCAGAGCTCCATCCCAGGAGGAAAGCAGACTTAACTGACTGAGCCACCCAGGCTCCCTTAGAATACTCTTTTAGAGTAGAGATCCACCTAAGGATGGGTTAAACTATGGTGAGGTTAAAAAGGCACTCTCCTAAGGAGTGCATAAAATATGAGAACCCCAAAACTCAGTAATGAAGTTAAATATTTAATGTACTATTTTAAATATCTAAATTAATGTAAAAAAGTCTATGATGAACAAAATATCAAAATTAAAACAAAAACAAAAACAAAAATAAAAACAAAACAAAAAACCGACAGGATCCTACCTTGCACTTGCATGACTCACCTCAATCGCCTCACCCTAATCTGAGTTTTTGGTTCAACCTTAAATTGAGTGCCTTATTAACATAACATAATAAAAATAATTGAGTGCCTTAACTGACTGATCATAGCCAGGCTCTGAGTCCTAAACACTTTTTCGTGTGGCCTCTTTCTGGGACCCTTCACTAAATGCCACCTTTGGATTCAAAACCTATCGTATCAACACTTTTCCTCTGGATAGACCTTTGGTATTACAAACTTCACTCGAGGTCCCATTCTTGGTGCACTCTTGCCAAGTGGGATAACTGTTTATCAGGTGTCTGCACCTTCAGGCTCTTCTGCTCTTCCAGCTCCCAGTTTTTTTTCGATTCTCCACCTGCAGGAGACACACCATTTTGGCACCCTCCTCTGCCAGGACTGCAACACTACTTTGGCGGGAAGTTCCCACAACCAGAGAAAGAGCTCCAGCCTTTTCTACTTTCTGAGTGAATGCTCCCCTCAGTTCATTTTCATCCTCCTGCCAGAGGTAGAATGTAAAGACTGGAGCCTAGACTCAACCTGGTCTCAAAAACACTTTCACCCTGGAAATAAGTAAAAGTGGAGGTTTTGGAGATTGTGGAGGAAAGCAACTGCAGTGACTTTCGCCTGCCATTACAACATAAAAGAAAAAAAAAAATCAAGACAACTCTGGCTTTCCCGTTGGTCTTAAGCTTGAACATTTTACATTTTACATTTTACATTTATCCACCACACAAGCGGTCTGAAACGCCAGCATTAAGAGGGCTTCTGGCAAGTCCGTGGGCCACGCCCCTTGGGCAGATCAGTTTCCTTTATTGGTCTGACAGCCTGTCACTCAAATCTGGCTCCCACTCCTGCTAACCATTCACGTAGTTTGGTTGCGTCTTGGTGTATTTAATGTTGCCAATAACGGGGGATTTTTTTTTTTTCTTTTTTTTTTTTTCCGAGCCGAGTACAGGTCGTGCTGCAATTAGTTCATTGAAAACTCAGTTGCTCTCTGAGCGCTTGGACAGAGACTGCTTTCGGCTTTTTTTCTGCTGATTGTTAAGATCTCCTATAGAGAGCTGCAACAATGCCCAAAAGAAAGGTAAGCGAAATGGGAAGATAGAAAGGGGATTAGCGACTGAAATACATATTTCCTAATCCGCAGAGATTGTTTTTAAAAAGCATTTTCGCTTCTAGTTAGATTTTGTGATGTACTGAATGGAAGAGGAAGGAAGGGCAAAGAAAGATCGGTGTAAGATTTAGGATGGTCTTGCATGCAACTAGTAGTTCCCTTTCGGCTTGTTTTGTTTAAGGGAAATAAATCGTTTAAGAGGTGTCTCCATGCTGAATTATAAACAGCCATAGCGCTGTGCTGTCGCTTCCTACCCCACCCCCCTTCCTCCGCTTACCCTATTGGAGAACACTTCTCTCAACCGCACTTCCAGGCACCAGTTTCCTCTTCAGCCTCGGGCTTTTCTCCAGGAACCGTCCCGTTTGGGGTAACTTAAGCCACGGCTTTCTCCCGTATTCGCCTTTGTTCTTCCCGTTTTCTTTTTCCTTTTTTTTTTCCCCTTCCCTCCTCCACTTCTTGTCATGCCAGATGGCTATGCAATGGTAATCCTGTGCCATTAGGCGGCGCAGACTTCAAACTGCCCTAGAGAAGGGAGAGATTCACCTCTGCAATTAGCAACTTTAGGGCTAAGACATCTGGGGTTCACCAAACTCTGTGCGTAAAGGTGGAGAGATGGCAAGAGAACTGAGTAAGATAAACTATTACTGATGTTGGGGTAGCATGGATTTGTTCCCTTTTAGACATGCAGAATTGATCTGAGCTATTCCAGGGCTACAGGTATTCTGCAAACCCTCACTTCAAAATTTGTGACTCCTCTCTTGAACAGGAGATAAATTCACGCCAGGTGTTTGTTTGACTTTGTTTGTTGTTGTTTTGGGGGGGGAGGGTCCCTTAGAAGTGAAATCAAATGCTGTTTCATTGCTTGACAAAATTGTAAAACACTGCGCTGATGTAAAGCTTTGTGACTGTTTTGATATTATTCTTATTTATCCGTCTACCATCCCTATTTCTAGAACATAGGAGTAAGACCGAAATTCCCCCATGCTCTGGGGCTGTGAGTATGAATCATGTAATAGCTTGATAATTCCCAGGCTGAAGGGCTGCTCAGATACAGAAAGCAATGGTTTTTGATAACCATCCCCCTTCCTGAGATTCCCGCCGCTGAGCTTTTCTAGGTTTGTGCAATGGGTCGTGCTATTTTACGGAGCTGAGAGCAACCTTATAGCAGGTAGTGGCGGGAAGTTTTAAAATCAGTGGCCGGCTCCTCAGAATAACGCATTGACATTGCAAAGGTTCCTTCCAAAAAAAAAAAAGAAAAAGAAAGAAAGAGAGAGGGAGGCAGACAAAAGAAAGAGAGAGAGAGCGAGAAGAAAGAAAGAAGAAAGAAAGAAAGAAGAAAGAAAAAGAAAGAAAGAAAAAGAAAGAAAGAAAGAAAGAAAGAAAGAAAGAAAGAAAGAAAGAAAGAAAGAAAGGAAGGAAGAAGAGAGAAGAGAAAAAAAGCATTGAAGCATTGTTGGGGTTGTAGTTCTTGTATGAAAAACTTGGAAAGAATTGTCCAGTCAGTAGAGAGAATCCAATAAGTACAATTGCATATAAAACATAAGGCAAAACAGGGAAATTGCATGAAGTTCCGCCTTCATTCTGCTGGCCTCCACACTTTTTTTTTTTTTTTTTTTTTTTTGGCTTTAACACTGGCTACAGCAGGTGGATTTTAAAATTTAAAAGGTTTGTTTTTAGGAGATGCAATTTACACAAAAGGATGGAATTGACTATCAGTTGTGTAAATTTATGTCTTGAGAATGGATTTGCATCTTGGTGCACATTTGCACGTTAGTGGACAGCAGTATGTAGCATGCTACTAGGAAATAACACGTGGCTACTTGAGCCAGAATCCAGGAAAAAAATCATAAGTGCTTATGTTACAACTGTAATCCATGCAATATTTTCTGATCTATGTGTTTATATCAATGATCTTATTCCTGTGTGGTTTTCTCGTTTGTATAGGCTGCCGGTCAAGGTGATATGAGGCAGGAGGTGAGGTTTTTTTTGTTGTTTTCTTTTTTAGTCTTAGAATCTGTCTGAAAAAATCCACTTGCTTTATGAATTTGAGACACATAAACAGCTAAAAAATTGACGCTGGTTTGTATATTTGTACCATATAAGAACCAATATGGTATGCCTGTGAGCTCTTTCAGAACTATAGCAGGTATTGAAAATTCCAAACTTCTTGGAATTTAGGACCTTATGCTTAAGATATGGAGAGAGCTTCTTCGTTTTGAAAAAAAAAAAATTGCTTTGTCAGTTTGCAAGAAGGGGCTATATTTTTATTTCCTTGTTATTAGCCATTGTGTTCATTGAAGTTTAATTTGGGATTTTTTTTTTTCCTTATCTATGTAAAGGGTCCAGGGGAGGGAAAATAAAAATTTATATTTCTACTACATTTTCTACTCAAGTTCAAAACTTCTTCTGTAAAAACAATGTTCATGTAGTGTTATACTAAATATTTTCACAATATAATAAATCTAGTTTTGTATATCCATAATTCTATTAACTAATTATTATTGTTTTTTTACTTATAGCCGAAGAGAAGATCAGCCAGGCTGTCTGCTGTAAGCGGTCATTTAAAAAAAGCTTCTCATGCATTGTAAAATATTAAAATTCAGGGAATTCTGGACAATACTAGTTATTTTATACAAGATTTATTTTGGATGTATTTTTTTTTAAAGATTTTATTTATTTTGACAGAGAGAGACACAGCGAGAGAGGGAACACAAGCAGAGGGAGGGGGAGAGGGAGGAGCAGGCTCTCCGCTGAGCAGGGAGCCCCATGAGGGGCTCGACCCCATGACCATGACCTGAGCCGAAGGCAGAAGCTTAACGACTGAGCCACCCAGGCACCCCTCTTTTGGATGTCTTAGTAAAAAACTTTTACACCAAGGAAATGTTTGATTTTTTTGTTTTTTTTTTCCTAATGCTAAATAAATATTATTTCCTCAATAAATCGTTTCCTAAATAAACACCCATTTATTTAAATTAAAAGGTTGGATTTCATTATTAGTGATCTTTCTTCAATTATGATTTCCTGCCCCCCCCCCCATGACTTGTGTTTTTTGATGCAGATGCCTGTGCCCATTACACCAGAGTTGAAGCCCAAAAGAACATCAACTCCAAAGGTAAATATTCAACATGCAATGCTGAGAGAAGATTGCTTTACTTCAGAAATAATTTTTTTGGAAAGACATGCAGCTGATCATTTTGCTTTCTTCATTTCCTGTTTAGTTAGTAATATATTACATTATACCATATGGTACATGTAGGCTTTTTGAGTAAGGATATTTGTTCATGCTCTGTGTTTTGGCATTTTCATTAGGAAGAAACAAAACAAAATTTTAGTTGGGTAGACCTATAAAATGTACATGCCTTTGACATCATATAGTCACAACACCAATATTCCTGGGAAAACAAAAGGTGTAAACTGTAGTAACCAAAGTAATAATAGGAGTAACTAACATTTGATAATACTTTACAGTTTGCACAGTTTGCAGTGTTTTCACATACATTATTTATTTTTTTAAAGATTTTATTTATTTATTTGACAGAGAGAGAGACACAGCGAGAGAGGGAACACAAGCAGGGGCAGAGGGAGAGGGAGAAGCAGGCTTCCCGCAGAGCAGGGAGCCAGATGTGGGGCTCGATCCCAGGACCCTGGGATCATGACCTGAGCTGAAGGCAGATGCTTAACGACTGAGCCACCCAGGCGCCCCTCACATACATTATTTTTAAATGAACACAATTGATTTCACATAGAATTATATACTCTGATGTTGTGGCTAACAACATGAAAAATAGAAATAGCCTCAATATTAACTTCACTTTCCCCCCTATATTTATATTTATTTATTTATGTGTAATTATGTGTAAATATAATACAATTAATTTTTAAAATTGCTTTATTGAGGTATGGATAATATTTTAAAGATTGGTTAAATTCCTAAAATCATAAAAGGTTAAAGCTAGGAGGAACATTAAAATCATCAAATCCCATCATTTTGTGATTGGAGAAACTGTAAATTATAGTCATATTTATAAAATGCTTTGAATTCCTTCATTAAAAAACTGCTAAAACTAGGGCAAGTGAAGTTTTAGCAACAATGAGTGACGACAGAAGAGAAAGGTTTTTAATTTTTTTTCTCTATTTCACATTTCAAGGTCACTATTCTGTAAAATTAGGTACCCAATTTATAGGTTATTAAGATAGTTGGGGCACCTGGGTGGCTCAGTGGGTTAAGTGTCTGCCTTAGGCTAAGGTCATGATCTCAGGGTCCTAGAATCGAGCCCTGCATCTGGCTCCCCGCTCAGTGGGGGAATCTGCTTCTCCCTCTCCCTCTGCCCCTTCCCCCCCACTCATACTCTCTCTCTCTCTCAAATAAATAAATACAATCTTTTAAAAAAAGATCTTAAACACTTTATTTCCTTTAAAAATAGAAGATAATGCTACGATAAAACAAATACTATATAATAATGGACTTTAAAATGCATTAACTTACTTGGCTCTCAGTTTCTTATGTGTTAAAATAGTAATAATATACCTATATTGTATTTTATAGTTTCTAAAGCAATTTTACATATATTTCATCATTTGCTCCTTATAACATCCCTATGAGGTAGGTGTTATTACACTTTTTTACATATAAAAGACATGCACAAAGAGATTTATACTTTTGCTCAAGATCACATCAAGTAAGTAGCAGATCCAGAATTCAAACACAGGTTTTCTGGCCCTTAATCCAGTGCTCTTTACACACATAGGCAAAGAGCTTTCTTGGTCATTATTCAAGTCATTTCAAACTTGTAGATACATATATTGAGTCACCTCTGTCCCCAGGTTATCTCTTTCAAATATATCTAAAGCGATGCTCTTGCTAACATAGTATTTCTCTTAATTATAACCACTGGAAGCTTTGCTATCAACAAAACCCTGTTGCTAATTATTAGACATGACAGATAAACTCCCCCTCTAGTCAAAAAGAGTTAATTTGTCAAAGTCTAATCTGATGCAATTAGCTCTGAGTGGACACTGGTCAGTATCCTAACTTGTTGCTTCTCTCTAAAAGAAAGTTTATTTGATTTATATCAAACCCATTATTCATTTTTTTTAAAGATTTTATTTATTTATTTGAGAGAGAGAGCACAAGCAGGGGGAGGGGAGGATGGGGGGGGAGGGGGAGAGGGACAAGCAGACTCTGTGCTGAGTGTGGAGCCCTACACAGGGCTCAATCCCAGGACCCTAAGATCATGACCTGAGCTGAAACCAAGAGTCCCACACTTAACTGACTGAGCCACCCAGGTGTCCCAGAATATTATTCATTTTTAATGCTGCTTTAGGTTTAGGATGAAACTAAAAGTGTCAAGTGATATTTTTGTTGATATTAAGTTTATATGGATATTTTAAAGCTTTCTGTAAATCATTACAGCAGCTGGTAAAGTAACTTGGGCCATTTAATTAACACATCAGTTAAGTTGTATATTTATTTTTATTACTCTGTGTTGCTGGACAGAAACTGAAGACAAAAAATGCTTTGATGGAAAAAAATACAGATGCAGGTGTCAAAGCAATAGCTGAAAACAAGCAAGAAGAAGTTATTAAAGGAGAATGTAATGATGAAAATGCTGAAAATGGAGAAGCCAAAATTATGGAGGTATTTTACAATATTAACAGATCTGTCCATTTGAAATTTTAACAATGGGTGCTGCTAAAAGAAATCTTATTTGCCTTGTACTTTAAAAGTTGAGAAACATTAAATGAGTAGTGGTTCTATAGTGTCTTAGTCCATTCCAGCTGCTATAACAAATACCACAGACTAGGTGACTTATAAACAACAGAAATTTATTTCTTACAGTTCTGGAGGCTGGGAAGTCCAAGATCAAAACACATATTTTGGTGTCTCGTGAGGACCTACTTTCTGTTTTTTACACAGCAGCCTTCTTGCTGTGTCCTGACATGATGGAAGGGGAGAGAGAACTCTCTGGGGTCTCTTTTGTAAGGGCACTAATCTCATCCATGAGGGCTCTACCTTCATGACCTAATCACCTCCCATAGGTCTTATCTCCAAATACTATCACATTGGGGATTAAGTTTCATCATATAAATTATAGGGGACACAAATATTCAGTTTATGGGATATAATATAATGGTATCTAAAGGGAAAATAAGAAACTGAATTTAAAATACATGAATTTACAGGTATGGGTAGTGGGAGTAGTGGATTAGCAATGCTATTAAGAGAATTAAGATAATAATGCCAGGGATCATGACTTATATTAAATACAGAGCAATCCTCTACTACTTTTGCCGGCACATGGGCTGTTTGTAAATCCCTTTCCAAGATCATATGATTCTTTTTCCCCTGCAGACTGCAAAAAAAATCATTATGTAAATGTTTCTTATGGGTCTCTATTTGCATATTTAATACATATCTTATTTTTAGGTATTGTAGCAAAACAATGAAAATGAGATATAGTACCCAATTTACAAATCAAAGCTGTGCATTTAGGGAAATTTTTTTTCTAAGCGATCCTGTGTTATAAGGTAAAACAATTTTCATTTTTACTTTATTTGTTTATTTTTTAATTTAAATTGGTTAATATGCAGTGTAATAGTATTTCAGGTGTAGAATTTAGTGATTCATCACTTACATACAACAGCCAGTGCTCATCACAACCAGTGTCCTCCTTCATACCCATCACCCATTTAACTGACCCCTCAACTACCTCCCCTCCAGCAAACATCAGTTTGTTCTCTATAGTTAACAGTCTGTTTTCTGGTTTTCCTCTCATTCTTTTTTTTCCCCCATATTCATCTCTTTTGTTTCTTAAATTCCACATATGAGTGAAATCATATAGTACTTGTCTTTTTGTCACTGACCTATTTCACTTAGCATAAGACTCTCTAGCTCCATCCACATCATTGCAAATGGCAAGATTTCATTCCTTTTGATGGCTGAGTAATACTTCATTGTGTATATATATACCACATCTTCTTTATCCATTCATCAGTCCATGGACATTGGGCTCTTTCCATAATTTCGCTATTCTTGATAATGTTGCTATAAACATCAGGGTGAATGTGACCCTTTGAATCAGTATTTTTGTTTCCTTTGGATAAATACCTAGTAGTGCAATTGCTGGGTCATAAGTTAGTTCTACTTTTAACTTTTTGAGGAAACTCTGAAAGGTTTTCCACAGTGGCTACACCAGTTTGCTTTCCCACCAACAGTGTAAGAGGGTTCCCCTTTCTCTGCATCCATGCCAACACCTGTTGATTCCTGTTTGTTAAATTTAGCCATTCTGACAGGGATGAAGTGATATCTCATTGTAGTTTTGATTTGTATTTCCCTGATAATTAAGTGATGTTGAGCAACTTTTCATGTGTCTTTAGCCATCTGTATATCTTTTTTTTTTTAAGATTTTATTTATTTATTTGACAGAGAAAGACACAGCGAGAGAGGGAACACAAACGGGGAGTGGGAGAGGGAGAAGCAGACTCCCCGCTGAGCAGGGAGCCCAATGCGGGACTCGATCCAGGGACTCCAGGATCATGACCTGAGCCGAAGGCAGTCGCTTAACCAACTGAGCCACCCAGGCGCCCCATCTGTATATCTTCTTTAGAAAAATGTCTATTCATATCTTTTGCCCATTTCTTAACTGGATTATTTGTTTTTTAGGTGTTGAGTTTCATAACTTCTTCATATATTTTGGATACTAACCCTTTATCACATACATCAATTGCAAATATCTTCTCCCATTTTGTAGGTTGCCTTTTAGTTTTGTTGATTGTTTCCTTTGCTGTGCAGAAGCTTTTCATCTTGATGAGGTCCTAATAGTTCATTTTTGCTTTTGGTTCCCCTGCCTTGGGAAACATATCTAGTAAGAAGTTGCTTTGGCTGATGTCAAAGAGGTTATAGCCTGTGTTCTACTCTAGGATTCTGATGTTTTCCTGTCTCACATTTAGGTCTTTCATCATTTTGAGTTTATTTTTGTGTCCAGTGTAAGAAAGTGGTCCAGTTTCATTCTTCTGCATGTAGCTGTCAAGTTTTCACAACACCATTGTTGAAGAGACTGTCTTTTAGGATATCCTCTCCTGCTTTATTGAAAATTAGTTGACCATATAGTTGTGGGTCCATTTCTGGGTTTTCTATTCTGTTCCATTGATCTATTTGTCTGTTTTTGTTCCAGTACCACACTGTTGATCACTACAGCTTTGTAATATAACTTCAAGTCTGGAATTGTGATGCTTCCAGCTTTGCTTTCTTTTGCAAGGTTGCTTTGGCTATTTGGGATTTTTGTGGTTCCATACAAAATTTAGGATTGTTTGTTCTAGCTCTTTGAAAAATACTGCTGATATTTTGATAGGGATTACATTAAATGTGTAGTAAGCTTTGGGTAGTATAGATATTTTAACAGTATTTTTTCTTCCAATCCATGAGCATGGAATTGATTTTCATTTCTTTGTACCATATTCAGTTTCTTTCATCAGTGTTTTATAGTTTTCAGAGCACGGATCTTTTACCTTTTTGGCTAGGTTTATTCCTAGGTATCTTATGGTTTCTTGTTCAATTGTAGATGGGATTGATTCCTTCATTTCTTTTTCTGCTCCTTCATTATTGGTGTATAGAAATGCAACAGAGTTCTGTACATTGATTTTATATCCTGTGACTTTACTGAGTTCCTTTATCAATTCTAGAAGTTTTTGGGTGGAGTATTTTGGGTTTTCTCTATATATTATTATCTCATCTGCAAATAGGGAAAGTTTGACTACTTCCTTGCTGATTTGGGTGCATTTATTTCTTCGTGTTGTCTCATTGCTGAGGCTAAGACTTCCAGTACTATGGTAAATAGCAATGATGAGAGTGGGCATCCCTGTCTCGTTTCTGACTGTAGAGGAAGAACTCTCAGTTTTTCTCCATTGAGGATGATATTAGCTGTGGGTTTTTCATATATGGAGTGTGTGATGTTGAGGTATGTTCCCTCTGCCCCTACTTTGTTGAGTTTTTTTTTTTTTTTTTTTTTTTTTTTACAAAATGAGTGTTGTACTTTGTCAAATACTTTTGTTTTTTTTGCATCTACTGAGAGGATGATATGGTTCTTATCTTTTCTTTTATTAATGTGGTATATCACATTGATTTATTTGCAAATATTGAATCACCCTTCCAACCTAGGAATAAATCCCACTTGATCATGGTGAATGACTTTATCAATGTATTGTTGGATTAGGCTTGCTGGTATTTTATTGAGAATTTTTGCATCCATGTTCAACAGGGATATTGGCCTGTAGTTCTTTTTTTAGTGGAGTCTTTATCTGGTTTTGGTATCCGTGTAATACAGGCCTCATAGATGAATTTGGAAGTTTTTCTTCCATTTCTATTTTCTGAAATAGTTTGAGAAGAATAGGTATTAACTCTTCTTTAAATGTTTGGTAAAATTCACCTGTGAAGACATTTTGCCCTTGAAATTTTGTTTTTTGAGAAATTTTTCATTACTGATCCAATTTCTTGGCTGGCTATGGTTCTGTTCAAATTTCCTATTTCTTCCTGTTTCAGTTTTGGTAGTTTGTATGTTTCTAGGAATTTATCCATATCTTCTAGATTGTCCAATTTTGCGGCATATAATTTTTCATAATATTCTCTTAAAATCATTTGTATTTCTGTGGTATTGATTCTTATTTCTCCTCTCTTATTTGGGTCCTTTCTCTTTTCTTTTGGATAAGTCTGTCTAGGGGTTTATCAATTTTACTAATTTTTCAAAGAACTTGGTTTCATTGATCTGTTCTACTGGGTGTTGTTGTTGTTTCTATATCATTTATTTCTGCTGTAATATATATTTTTAAAGATTTTATTTATTTATTTGACAGAGAGAGACACAGCGAGAGAGGGAACACAAGCAGGGGAGTGGGAGAGGGAGAAGCAGGCTCCCCGCAGAGCAGGGAGCCCGATGCGGGACTCAATCCCAGGACCATGGGATCATGACCCGAGCTGAAGGCAGTCGCTTAACCAACTGAGCCACCCAGGTGCCCTCTGCTGTAATATTTATTAATTCCCTTCTTTTCCTGGATTTAGGCTTCATTTGCTACTCTTTTTCTAACTTCTTTGGGTGTGAGTTTAGGTTGCATATTTGAGATTTTTCTTGCTTCTTAAGATAGGTCTATATTGCTATTGCTTCCCTCTTAGGACCACTTTTGCTGCATCACAAAGGTTTGGACTATGATGTTTTCATTTTAATTTGTTTCCATATATTTTATTATTTTCTCTTGATATCCTGGTTGCCCCATTCATTGTTTAGTAGGATGTTCTTTAATTTCCATGTATTTGTGGTCTTTCCAAATTTTTTTTTCCTTGTGCTTGACTTCAAGGTTCATAGCGTTTTTGTCTGAAAATATGCATGGTACGATCTCAATCTTTCTGTATTTCTTGAAGCTTGATTTGTGACCTGGTATGTAATCTATTGAGGAGAATGTCCCATGTTCACGTGAAAAGAATGTGTATTCTGCTGCTTTAGGATGAAATGCTCTGAATATATCTGTTAAGTCCATCGGGTTCAGTGTGTTATGCAAAGCCATTGTTTTCTTGTTGATTTTCTGCTTAGATGATCTTTCCATTGATATAATGGGGTGTTAAAGTCCCTTACTATTATTGTATTATTATCAATGAGTTCTTTTTATGTTTGTTATTAACTGTTTTATATATTTGGGTTCCCTCATGTTGGGTGCATAAATATTTACAATTGTTAGATCTTCTTGTTAGATATACTCCTTTATTATGATATAGTGTCCTTCTTCATCTCTTATTACAGTCTTTGGTGTAAGATCTAGTTTGTCTGATATAAGTATGGCTACTCCAGCTTTCTTTTAATGTACATTAGCATGATAAATAGTTCATCACCCACTCACTTTCAATCTGGAGGTGTTTTGTGGTCTATAATGAGCTTCTTATAAGCAGCATATTGATGGGTCTTGTTTGTTTTTGTTTTTATCCATTCTGATACCCTATGTCTTTTGATTGGAGCATGTAGTCCATTTACATTCAGAGTAGTTATTGAAAGATATGAATTTAGTGCCATTGTATTACCTGTAAAGTTGCTGTTCCTGTAGATTGTCTCTGTTCTTTTCTAGTCTTTGTTACTTTTGGTCTCTTTCTGCTCAAAAGGTCCCCTTTAATATTTCTTGTAGGGCTGGTTTAGTGTTCATGAATTCCTTTAGTTTTTGTTTGTCTTGGAAACTATTTATCTCTCCTATTCTGAATGACAGCCTTGCTGTATAAAGTATTCTTGGCTGCATTTTTCCCATTTAGCACACTGAATTTATCATGCCAGTCCTGCTGGCCTGCCAAGTCTCTTTGGACAGTGCTGCTACTAGCCTTAAGTCTACCGTTGTAGGTTAAGGACTTCTAGTCTTGAGCTGCTTTCAGAATTCTCTTTATCTTTGTATTTTTCAAGTTGCACTGTGATATGTAATGGAGTTGACCTTTTTTTTTTTTTTTTTTAATTTTGAGGGGAGTTCTCTGTGCTTCTTGGACATGAATGCCTGTTTCCTTCCCCAGATTAGGGATGTTCTCAGGTATAATTTGTTCAAATAAATCTTCAGCTCCTTTTTCCTGCTCTTCTTCTTCTGGGACTCCTATAATACGGATATTATTTTGCTTTGGGGTTATTGTTGAGTTCCCTAAGTCTACCTTAGTGATCTAATAGTTTTCTTTCCCTCTTCTTTTCAGCTTCCTTATTTTCCATAATTTTATCTTCTATATCACTGAATCTCTCTTCTGATTCATCCATGCTCATTTCTAAGGCCTCCAGTTGGGACTGCATTTTGATTATAGCATTTAATTTCGGCCTAACTACATTTCAGTTCTTTTATCTCTACAGTAAGGGAGTCTCTAATGTCTTCTATTCTTTCAAGCCCAGCTATTATCCTTATAATTTTTGTTTTAAACTCTATTTCAGACATCTTATTTATATCTGTATTGATTAAACCCCAGCTGTGAGTACTACCTCCTGTTCTTTTTTTTTTCTTTTTTTTTTTTTTTGGTGAATTTGTCCATCTCATCATTTTGTCCAGAAAAAAAAAGAAGAAAGAAGAAGAAAGAAAAAAATAACAATAACTACAATAGCAATACAACAAATACAAAACAAAACAAAAAGAACTAAATCCTGGTTGTGTTTTGGTCTACTTGTTAAAAGAAACTAGATCCCAAGATAAGAACAAAAGAAAAAAATATATATGTATATGTTAAAATAAATTTCAATGAAAAGAAACACAAAACAAAATATACATATATATATTAAAATAAATTTCAATGAAAAGAAACAAAGAGCAAAACATATATATGTATAAATATATATAGTATATATAAAAATAAAATTTTAAGAAGAATAAAAGAAAAGTTGAAAAAATAAGAAAATAAATGAAAAAAATAATGATAAATAAAAATAAAAGTACAAAGGAAGCTAGATACTATTTCCCCTAGAGCTGAAGCTTTGCAGCACTCTATGATCAATAAACTTGGTGTGAGCAAATTGCTTGTGCTGGTCTTCTGGAAGAGGGGCCTGTTGCACTGATTCTCATGTGGACTTGCCCTAGTGAATATGTGCCTCCAGTGCACAGGGAGGCAGTACTTAGTGTAAGTGGCTCTGGACTGTTTTGGTGGCACTGTTTTGCTCCCTGAAGTCTTTCAGCACTGAGGGGTGGAATGAATAGGGCGGTGCCCTGTTCTCTAGCCATGGAGCTGAAAATTTGCACCCCCAGCTCTTCAGTGAGCCCTCATTGAAGAGCAATCAATCATCTCTCCCTGGTTTCTGTCAGAACCTTGTGTTCACCCTGCCTATGTCCAAGCTTTTTTTTTATCTCAGGCATGTGAATGAGTTTCAAAACTCTAACTTTGAGGGACTCCCATAGCATGGACCCCTGCTCTCCCCCCTGGGTAAGGTCTTGCCAAACTTCTGCCTTTTGCTGGACTTGTCCTGGGAAAGTGGTCCCACAACTGCACAGTGGTTCAAAGTTTATGGCAACACAGAGCAGAAAGCTGGCACCTAGACTCATTGTTCTCAGCCAGCTTCCCTGCTCCTATGCCTGGGAACAGAGCAGCACTTAGGCACCACCCATTATTCACGGGACCCAGGGGATTCACAGACCATGGTGTCACACCTGGAATTCTGCCCCGCTCTTCCACCTGAGCACCTTTAAGCCAGACACGTCCTCCACTATAGCAGACTTCTAAACATTCTGATTTTGCACTCTGCTGCTTATAATACAATGCGGGTAGGCTCCTTAAGCAGGTTCCCTCCCCTCTCTTGTATCAGCAGCTATATCACACCAGATTCAAGTCCCTGCACCTCCTACCTTCTAAAAAGTGGTCACTTTTCTACTTGTAGACTTGCAGTATTTGTTCTCTCAGACCTCTGATTGATTTCTCCAGTGTTCAGAATGATTTGATAACTATCTAGCCTTATTCAAGGGATGAGACCAACTTAGGGTCCCCCTACTCCTCTGCCATCTTAACTCCTTCCTCTGTCTTGCTGCTTTTAGATTTTTTTTTTCTTTATCACTGTATTTTGCAAATTTAACTACAATATTTCTTGGTGTTGGCCTCCTTTTTTTTTTTTACTCTTGATGGGAGTTCTCTGTGTGTCCTGTATTTGGATGTCTGCTTCCTTCCCCAAATTAGGGAAGTTTTCAGCTATAATTTCCTCAAATAAACATCCTGCCCCCTTTTCTCTCTCTTGTCCTTCTGGGATTCATATGACATGAATATTATTTTGTTTGATGGAGTCAATGTGTTCCTTAAGTCTACTCTCATGTTCCAAAATTTTTCTTTCTCTTTTCTGTTCAGCTTCATTATTTTCTACAATTCTATTTTTTGTATCACTTTTTGTTCTGTTTCTTCTATCCTTGTGATCATTACATATAGTTAGTTTCAAATCTCAGTTATTGCATTTTTCATTTCAGCCTGATTGTTTTTTAGCTCTTTTATCTCTCTGGTAATGGTCTCCCTGATGTCTTCCATGCTTTTTTCAAGCCCAGCTAGTATCCTTATGATTGTTGCTTTAAATTCTGAATCAGGCATATTACTTACATTTGTTTCTGTTAGATCCCTGGCTGTGACCTTTTCTTGTTCTTTCTTTTGGAGTGAATTCCTCTCTTGGCATTTTGTCTAGGTCTCTGTCTTCTTCTCTGTGTTAGGAAAGCCTGTTGTGTTTCCTTTTCCTGACAGTAATAGCTTTATGAAGAAGAGGTCATATAGTATCCAGGGCCTGGCCCTTCCAGAATTTTCTCTTGTATGTGCTGTGTGCACTCTGCTGCTGTGTTTTGACTGCTCTATCCCCAGGTCAGTAGTCTGCAGAGGTTCTCCTTGCCTGCAGTGGGCAGTGTTTGGACCTTGGCCAGAGTGTGGTGAGTTTTTACTAGGTATGCTCTGGTCTGCTTGCTAAAAGAGACTTGATACTAATTCCATAAGAGCTGAAGTTTTGCAGAAGTCTATGGTCAGTAGATGGGGTGCATGCAGGGGTTTGTGCTGGTCTTCTGGGGGAGGGAGACCACTGTGCTGGTCCTTAGGCATACTTCCCTGAGAAAATCGGTACCAGCAGAGTACAGGGGGGCAGATCTTGGTGTAAGCAGGTTAGGAAGCCAGTGTTGGAGTTGTGCTGTTTCCTAAGATTGGTTTATGCTTAGGGACAAAGGAGGGAAATGGTGACATCCTGCTCCTCTGTCCCTGGGTACCTCTAAAACTCCAGTCTTTGAGCCCCATTGGTTGCAAAAGGTCACAAAAATCAGCCCTTCTCATTTTCCCAGCCAATGGCTTTGGGGAAGTGTTCTCCTTCTGTGTCTTGCTGTGCACACCACTCTCTCTCACCTTTCTCTATGACCAGGGCTCCCTTCCCTCCATAGCACCTACTATCCATTTCTCCCCCAAACCATGTGTTCATAAATCCTGGCTTTTTAATTTGGCTTCTCCTCTGCTTCTATTTGTGCAGTTTGTTTTATCAGTCCTCAAGTAGATTTCTTGGGTATTTAGAATGATTTGATAGTCATCTAGCTGTGTTTGAGGGACAAGGCAAACCTAAGGTCCTCCTAGTACATGGCCATCTTAGGTCTTCCCCCACAGTCTACCCAATAAAAGACTTTTCAAGTAACTTTTTTCAAAGAAAACCTAAATCTCACTATTATAGAAACAAAATATTATTTCCTCAAGGAATGCATTTTGTTTACTCATTGAGAATTGCTGACATAGAATATATGCCATCTTTTCTGTATTTACTCTGTTTCCCATATTTGTAATGAAAATTCTGTATATGAATACATTTTCCTGAATTCATTGTTCCAAATATCTATTTATACATGTTTGTGTGGAGATATTTTAGTTAATCCTATTTCTTAGAATGTTTTCCTTATCTTGTGATATTTAGGAGGTGTTTTTCACAGGAAAATTACTTTCTTGTAAATGAAGTATCATTCTTTTCTAAAATAGATATAATTCTGTCTAAATACTTAAGGAAAATAGTTCAAATTTTCAAATATAGTCTTTTTTAATTTTCTCTGTACATATAGGCACCAGCTCCTGAAAAAGAACTTGAGGAAATGAAAGAAGAAAAAAATGAAGATGTTGAAGAAGTGGGAATAGAAAAGAAGGAAGTAGTGACAGCAGCAGGAGAAGATGAAAAAGATCAGGAAGGAGATGGAGAAGACCAAAACAAAAAAGAGGAGAAAAGAGAAGATGGGAAAGAGAACAAAGATGGAAAAGGAAAAGGAGATAGAAAAGAAGATGAAGATGGAAAAGAAAAAGAAGATGGAAAGGAAGAAGAAGAGAAAAAAGAAAAAGGAGATGAAAAAAAGAATGAAGATGGAAAAGGGAAGGGAAAAAATAGCAAAGAGGAAGAAGAAGAAAAGGAGAAAGAGAAAGGAGATGAAAAAGAGTGTGAAGATGGAAAGGGGAAAGGAGAAGATGTCAAAGAATTTGAAGATGAAAAAGACACAGGAGAAGAAAAACAGGAAGAAGACAGAAAAGAGAATGAAGATGGAAAAGAGGATGAAGATGGGAAAGAGGAGAAAGGTGGAAATGAGGAGGAAGCTGGAAATAGGCAGGAAGGTGGAAATGAGAAAGGAGAAGAAGATGGAAAAGAGGGCAAACATGGAAAAGAGGAAGATGGAACAGAAGAAAATGGAAAGGGAGATGGGAAAGTTGGAGGAAAGAGAAAGGAAAATAAGAGGAAGGCTGAAGTGGGAAAAGAAGTAGCTGAAAAAGGAGAGGTCAAAAACGAAAAAAAAGAAGAATCTCAGAGTATTGTTTAAAGCTGCCCTATATAGTTTCATAATTGGTAATATGTGCCTCCATGTTGTAATGTTAATAGAGATAAATATTTTTATCAAATATTTTATAAACACAGCTTTTCTTTAGAATCAGTTTAACTTCAGAACATCTTCATACTGATTATTAGTCACAAAGTAGCTAACATGAAACCTTTATACATTTTGTGATCATAATAGAATATATAAAAATATGCTTTCAACTTTGTCAGTGAATTTCCTTTTGTGTAACTTATGTGTTAAATCTTTGAATTTTAATTTTACTCCTATATGTGATAATTTCACAAAGTGGGGAGATCCAGAAAAGTTTCTTCCAAAATTCTTGTGGTTCTCTAGGTTGCTTTTATAAAAAAGGTTAACTATTTTCTGTAATGCAAAGAGTTAGAATTCTTTCTCAGATATAACTTTATTATCAGCTTGTGAAGAAATAAAATTGCAATTCCATTTTTTAAAGATTTACAATTTTTTTTCAGAAGGGCAGTTCTGATTATATGTGTATCCATAAAATTTTACTAGATTGATCTTAATAAAAATTCTCTTCAAAAATAATTGTAGTTTTTTATATCTCTAAAAATATAGTTAGTGAAATATTATAGTGCTTGATTTTTTCTATTGTGATGTTCACAAAAGCGTTAATTTTTTTTTGCACTGAAATAAAATTAACATAAAATTTACCATTTTAACCATCTCCAATTCAGTGTTTTTTTAGTGCATTCACAATATTGTGCAACTTCCACCACTATCTAATTCCAGAACATTTTCATCCAAATAAAAAACAAAATACCAATTAGCAATCTCTCCATTCCCAATCCTCTCCTCACCTGTCCCTGTTAACCGCTAATTTAGTTTGTCTCTATAGATTTGCCTATTCTAGATATTTCATATAAAAGGAATCATGCAATATGTGGCCTTTGTGTCTGGCTTCTTTCACTTAGCATAATGTTTTCAGGTTCATCCACATTAGCATGTATCATTACTTCATTTCTTTTCATGGCAGAATAATATTATATTCCATTGATATGCTACATTGTTTCTTGAACATTTGAGTTGTTTCCATATTTTTGTCAATTATAAATAATGCTGCTATGAATATCCATGTAGAAGTTTTTGTGCGCATATATGTTTTCATTTCTCCTAGGTATATATCTAGGAGTAGAACCACTGGATTATATAGCAATGGTATGTTTAACTTTTTGAGGGACTTTTGGACTGTTTTCCAAAGTGGCTTCAGCATCACATACTCTCACCAGCAATGTATGAGGGTTCTAATATTGCCACATCCTTGTCAAAACTTCTTATTGTCTATATTTTATTATAACCATCTTAGTGCGGTTATTTAGGGGTGGTTAAAATCATGGTGATTTTGATTTGAATTTCCATAATGATATTAAACATCTTCTTATGTGCTTATCAGCCATTTGTTATCTTTGGAGAAATGTCTAACAAATCCTTTGCCCATTGTTCTCTTGGGTTGTCTTTTTAGTATTGTGTTGTAAGATGTGTACATATTTTACCTACAAGTGTCATATCAGTTATAATCACTTGCAAATTTTTCCCCATTCTATGGGTTGTCTTTTCACTTTCTTGAGAGTGTCCTTTGATGCACATAAGTTTTAAATTCTGATTTAAGTCTAATGTATTTTTCTTTTGTTGCTTGTGTTTTTGGTGGCATATCTAAGAATCTGGTACCAAAACCCAGGTCACAAAGATATACACCCATACATCTGAAGAGTTTTATAGCTTTATCTCTTACATTTAAATATCTGATTCATTTACATGTGACCATCCATTTGTCCAAGCACCATTTCTTGAAAACACTATTTCTCCATTGAATGGTCTTGGCACTCTTAAAAAATCAATGTACCACAGATGTATGGATTAATTTCTGGACTCTCAATTCTATACCATTGATCTATATGTCTACATGTCAGTACCATACCTTTGATTACTGTAGCATTGTAATAATTTTTGACATCAGAGAGTATTTGTCCTTTAACTTTGTTCTTGGTTGTTCAGGATCCCTTATAATTCCATATAAGCTTTAGGATCATCTTGTTCACTTCTACAAAAGAAAAGGCAGCTGAAGTTTGGATAAGGATCACAATAAATATGCAAATAAATTTGGGGTATATTGCCATACTAACAAAATTGTCTTTCAATACATTAACATGGGATGTCCTTTCATTTATTTAGGTATCTTTCATTTCAGCAATATTTTGTAGTTCTTAGAACGTACAAGTCTTGCACTTCTTTGATTACATTTATTCTGAAGTATTTTATTTTTGATGCTGTAAATGGATTTTTATTTCCATTTTGGATTATTCATTGTTAGTGCATAGAAATACAACTGAATTTTGAATATTAATCTTGTATCCTGTAATTTTGCTGAACTCATTTATTAGATTTAGTAAATATTTTAGATTTTTTTTTTTAATTTATTTATCTCAGAGAGAATGGGAGACAGAGAGCATGAGAGGGGGAGGATCAGAGGGAGAAGCAGACTCCCCGCTGAGCAGGGAGCCTGATGTGGGACTCGATCCCGGGACTCCAGGATCATGACCTGAGCCGAAGGCAGTTGCTTAACCAACTGAGCCACCCAGGCGCCCCAGATTTAGTAAATATTTTGAGGAATTATTCAGAGATTTCTATTTATAAGAACATGTCATCTGCAAATAGAGGTCATTTTACTTCTTTCCAACGTAGGTATCTTTTTCTTTTTTCTTGCTTAATTTCCTTGGTTTTCAAAAGGCTTCACACATATTAAGAATAAAAAAGGAAATAAACAAATTCAGAAGTTCAGCTTCCGAAGCTTAGACCTCTGTCTCTACCTCTTTCACAGGGCTGACGAGCCCTGCACCATTTCATACCCTGTCTCAAAATTTACTACAATGCTACAGTAATCAAAATTGACCTAAAAGGCTGGTTAAATATCTAGGCACCTCATCTACTTCCTAGTCATATTCCACAACCAGAGAAAATGTACTGTCATAACATCCAATACAGAAACTGGTCTTTTAAATGCCTTGGTCCCCTTCATCGCTAAGGCTAAAATAAAAGTAACAATGCTGGTTTTCTCTTTAAAAACACATTCCATGTGGGGTGCCTGGGTAGCTCAGTCATTAAGCATCTGTCTTTGGCTCAGGTCATGATCCCAGGGTCCTGGGATCAAGCCCCGCATTGGGTTCCCTGCTCCGCGGGAAGCCTGCTTCTTCCTCTCCCACTCCCTCTGCTTGTGTACCTTCTCTCGCTGTGTCTCTTTCTGTCAGATAAATAAAATCTTTTAAAAAAATAAAATAAAAAATAAAAACACATTCCAGGTGAAGGGCAGAAATCTGGTAATGAGTAATCTTAATCTTGGGAAATTTTACCCTCTACATAAAGAAGGTAGCCATCTTCACCTTACAACATTATTTTTAATGATATAATAAAGCATTCATATAACAAGAATGCCATAGTATACTACAGGAGGATCATTCCTTTACACTATGATACTAAAGTAAACACTTCACCCTGTCTTGTATGTTTTATATTGCTTTATTTCTTGATGTTTTAATTGGACCCCACTTTCCCTTTACTATTAAAACTTTGTTTCACACAATTTCTCTTCTACCAGTTTCAAAAATAGTAAAATGTGAAGGGAAAAGTGAAGTACAGGAGTATTAATTTAAAGAGACAGCATACCATCCCTGTAAGTGAAAGTGGATATAAATTATAAATCTACTATAGCAGAACAATACTTAATGAAGTTGTGGAGAAATAGACAAAGGTATAAAAAATTCTTCAGGGAACACCACAGAGAAAAATTGTTTAAGAAGTGCACTTTGGGGGCACCTGGGTGGCTCAGTCGTTAAGCGTCTGCCTTCAGCTCAGGTCATGATCCCAGGGTCCTGGGATCGAGCCCCGCATTGGGCTCCCTGCTCGGCGGGAAGCCTGCTTCTCCCTCTCCCACTACCCCTGCTTGTGTTCTCTCTCTCGCTGTGTCTCTCTCTGTCAAATAAATAAAAATAAAATCTAAAAAAAAAAAAAAAAGAAGTGCACTTTGGAGGCACCTCAGTGGCTCAGTCAGTTAAGTGTTCCACCCTTGATTTCAGCTCAGGTCATGATCTCACAAGCCTGTGAGATAAGCCCCACATCAAGCTCTGCACTGGGCATGGAGCCTGCTTAAGATTCTTTCCCACTGTCCCTCCCCACTTTCTCTCTCTCTCTCTCTCTCTCTAAAAAAAAACAAAAAAAACAAGTGCACTTGGAGTTTCCATAATAATATGAAAGACCTTTTGTTAACTATCTCATTGACAACACATTTTTTGTAATATACTGATTTATTACAAGAATTGATTTTCTGAGTATATAGTGAAGTTTTAATAAATTTTATTATGACTTTAAAGGGTTTGCCCCATTAATAAGCATGATTTGGGCTAGTGATCGCATGTCTCAAAATAAAAATGTTTAATATGAATAATCTTTGAAATCATATTCTAATTATACGGTAAGGTGTAATTCAGTTTTTGATGTAGAAAAAAAAAGAATAAGAAAAAGAATAAGTACACACAATTCTTAAGGGTGTATCTGCTACATAAAGCAAAGCCTGCCCTTAGTGTTTGCCCTTAATAACAGTTAAAATGTTTCATGCTGAACATTATTACTCTTTATAAAAATCCCATGTTTTGGACTGTATCAACAAAGGGAGACATAGAACTAGTGCATATCAAATCTGGAGTCTACTCATAAACCATAATATAATAAGGATTATTGATGACCTAATAAGATCACACAGATAAATCTTGAAACCACCTTTTTTTTGGTCCTAAAATAATTATTTTTCTTCAAGGTGTTATCACAGCAATTTTCCAAAATTAAAAAAAAAAAAAACTGTTGGAACAAGTTGGTTAACATGTAAAGAACAGAGAGAAAGTCCACCAAATCAGCTGTAATTTAGAAACTCCTGTGCTGAAATTCATGACAGTAGGTAAATTACTTATGTAAAGGTACTTTTCCAGAACACAGAAAAGTTTTTAATGTAATATTTATACAATAGATATAATTTTTAATCTGAAAATACATGGATTTAAGACTATCACCCACTTTTAATAATGCTCATTTGTGTCCCATGAATACAATAGTCTTTCAGATTATATTGACTTCCTTAAATTGGAAAATAGTAAGTAGACAAAAGTCTAATTTTATGTGGAGTAACAATCATTTTCTCTTACCTATTATCTCTAACTAGAATTGTTCATTCTGATTGTTTATTACAGATTTTAAAAATCTTATATTTTATTTCACTTTAGAGAGAGAGAGAGTGGGGGGAGGGGCAGAGGGAGGGAATCTTTAAGCAGACTGCCCACTCGATCCCACTACCCATGGGATCATGATCTGAACCAAAACCAAGAGTCAGATGTTTAAGTGACTGAGCCACCCAGGCACCCCTTAAAAATCTTTTTTTTAATTTTTTCTCATGAACCTTTTTTTTATATATATTTATATAAAGTATCACATAATAGTGTAGTTCAGAGTGGTTTTCCTGTATTTGAAAGAGTCAAACATTAAATCCAGAAAAATTAAATATTCTTTAAGAAACAAAACTATGGTTTAGTATAAGTTACCTGATGACATATGCATTTAATCCTTTAGCAACTATATTATGCAGTC